TCAATTATCCCATTTATTCCTCAATAAAATACATGAAGTGGAAACTATTAATCATATTTTAAAATGAAATGTTGCGGGTTCGCGACCTGCCTGGGCAGCGAGACCTCATCTCTACAATAAATCAAAAAATCAGCCGGGCATGGTAGCACATGCCTGTAATTCCGGCTACGTGAAAGTCTGAGGTGGAAGGATCGAGGCTGCAGTGGCTGGGAGCAGCCACTGCACTCCAGTCTGGGTGACAGAGTGAGACTCCAACTCAAAAAAAATAAAATAAAATAAAAATAATAAAATAAAATGAAATGTTTAACAAACTAACACAAGACTGAGAAATTAAGGCTGAGTGACAGATTTGGAAGATAAATCCAGGCATCTGTGTCTACAAACCCCTCCTTTTAACCACTATACTTCATGACCTGGATAAAGCTTATACTATGATTAAGCTACCTAAAAAAATCTCACAAGATGAAATACATAATTCTGAGATGGAATTATAATTTAAAATTTTACTCGGTGTTATGAACATTACTTAAAGATCTGAGAAAAAATTTCTATCTCAATGTCATGGAGATGATAAATAATAGGTTAAGAAAAAAATAGGAATACATTGTCATATTTTGGCTAGTTTGAACTCACATAAAAATACATTTTAATAACGGATTGAAATAAATAAACATTTTCTTTTAATCACAAACATACTATTAAGAACCTATATCAGTAATTCCTTAACAATTTAAAAAATTAATCCTAAAGACCAAAGCTTTCCATAACTATCATTTACTTTATATTATCTAGTGGAAATAATTTGGAAATTTCTGATTTTGAGTTAGATATTCGTAGTCCCTACTCCTGGTCATAATCTTACAAAATGTTTATAATAAGTACATCTTTCAAAGAATCAAGATAGAAAGCAATTTCAAATATTAATTTCTATTCAATATTGCTATATGATTTTCATGTTATATGTCATGAATCAAGACAGCTTATTTATAGATGAAGATATGCAAATGTGTAGCAAAAGAAGATCATGTCAATTACATTCCCAAACTAGACTCTTATTACATGCCAAATATAACTTACTTTGTGTTATGGATTCAACCTATCATTTAATTCTGAATGACAGTAATTTAAGGATTTCTTGAAAAGAAATCCAACTTTAAGTCTTTGAATAAAAGTGAGGTAAAATTCAGACAATGCTGTTTCTCCATTGAGAAACTTCATATATAATGTGGTTCAACATGTCTTTAATACTGTGTTTACTTGAATTTTATTTTTTACAATAGCACTTAGGTCTGTCCGTTAGCACATAATTTTAATATTTATTATAAATATTAGTAAACATACATATTTTCGCCTGTTAAATGGTTTTAGACTCAGCAAAGGATAACTCAAAGGAAAAGACAAAGTGGTAAGAGGATAGAAGTCAAGAAAAAGACAGAAATTAAGTAACAATATTAAAGACTTCAAGAAATTGAAATAAATACAAATAAATGTCTCCACTGCATTTAGTGACAAAAATACTTCAAAGCTAAAGTCAAGTGGTAATAGCATATAAGAGGAGTTGTAGAAATAATAAGTATAGTAAAGATACCTACACCTTGCAATAAGTGGTCTTAAAAGGAAAAAAAAGTTGATCTTAAAAGGATAAAATAGATACAGGTCCATACCTAGGAAAAATGGGAAGGAGTCACAAAAGAAAAAGAAGGTGAAGTTGTAAGGAAGGGGAGAGATAATTGAGTGAAAGGAGTTGCTGAAAAGACAGAAGGAAGAATGAGCTAAAGCATCGATGGAAGTTTAGATCAACTATTATAACACGAAGGAAAAATGGATTGCTACATATGCAACTATGGGAGTAGGTTTGGCAAAATGATACTGAGAAATTTCTTAAAGTTTTCTTTTTTCCTATACAGTAAGAGGCAAGATTTTCTAAGCCTGATGTGAAAAGTGGGAGGATTACAGTTTTGAGTATTACTGAAAATGCTTGAAATAGACCTCCATGGAAGCTAGGAAAGAGTTTACTAAGGGTATAGTGTAAACCTTACAGCCAGGATTGAAAACTTAAACCAGATTATTGGTCGCAAATCAATAATGGTGGCAATGTTCAAGTTCATATGGTTAACAACACCTTACCTTCATTATCTGGAAGTGAGGTCTGAGGAGATGAGATGGAGAGTCAGATTCCACAAGAATGTGAGTAAGTGATGAATCACAATTCAGATTTGGAAGGGAAAGGAGATAGGCAGAGGCAGACTTAAAGCTAAGGAAGCTTAAACCTCAGGATCCCTCCCTTCACAGGCCATTTCCAATGCCCTGCAAGAACCCCTGGCAAATTTCTATTTGTGATGTATAACTTTATACTCTTTTACTTTAAAGGCGCCCTGAAGAAAATGGTTCACAGGTCATAAACCTTCCAGAATCTGAATACAGCTACAAGAGATGGAAACAGCAAGGGTTCCATTAGGTAGTAAAAAATGTAAGAGAGTCTATGAATTGGCTTTTCTGATGAGAATAAAAGAAAAAATTTGGAGACTAAAACACAAGATAATGGGAGATATAGAAGTTTGTGTTTAGGACAGGTAATGAACGAAGTCAAAATTTTACGGTGAAATATTTAAGACAAATTTTGCATTTGTGCTTCCCATTCTATTACCTTCAGATTTTGTCAAAGTTTGTTGCAATAAATACATATACTGTATTTGTGTTTGCAGTTTCTCAATTACATGAACAAATGCTTTAAGTAGAACACTTTGTGACTTCTATAGATAAATTCAGTTCAAAAATGTTTTTATAGATTTTCTTCCAGAAAGATATTTGTATCCATTGGAAAACCAGAATGCAGCGAGGTTTCTCTTGCCTTTACCAGCTCTGGCATGTCTCCCTTTCTTTCCTCTCTTCTTTCCCTAATAAACTTTGTTTTGAAACTTAAAGTGAAATAAAGTAATAAAATAAAATAAATAAAAAGGAGAAAAGAAAAACCAGAATGTTTACTCCTCTACATAAACAAGAATGATGAAACTTTTGTGTTTCCACTAAAGCTAAATACAAAACCCAATAAAAGCGATAATCTAAAAACATAAGCATGCATTTTTCATACTTTTTCAGTTATTTACTTTTCAGTAAATACTCATTATTGTTAGATAAAAGAATAAGTTATAAATGAACATATCAAAGAAGATGGTTGTCAATAAGAAATTGTTACAGTCTTATCATTTATATTAATGAATTATATTGTTCCCAAAATTTTAGTTGAATTTTGCAAAGCTAAACAATTACCTCAATAAATGTAAATAGTTTTGACAACTAAAGAGAATGATTAATACTTTACAGCATTTTAGGACAAGGTACCCTAGTTAGGACACTATTTAATTGGTACTAATGAATATGTATAATTTGTGCGTCCATTGTTTTGACCTCTTGGCTGGCAAAAGCAGCTATTATTCTGAGAAGATGAGATGCATATTTCTGTTAAGCAGTGGCTTCACAGATTAACACTAGCAAGAAGCTCTTGCAAGAGAAAGGAGATTGAAAAATAATTAATGAGATTATTGCTCATCTTTCATTTTTCATTGACTCTTCTGAGGATCAGTTTAATCAATTTATCAATTAGTGGCATATATTTAATTCTTTACTCAGAGCTTTAATTCATTCTTCTTTCTTTTTATGGTCAACTTCAGAAATACAAAGAGAATGATCACTGGGATAATTATCAGTTTACTTTAAATACCACATATAATATAAATTTCACAAGAATTTTATCCAGGACAAAATTATATTGTGTATCATTGAATATAAGTGGTGAATAGGCAAAGCTTTCTAGTGAAAACTGAATAAATTCCATGTTTTAGAGTGAAAATTTATCCTTTTTAAAAAAATTTATTATTTATATCAGAAATATCTTCCCTATGAGTGAATAAGAATATGATGCAAACAAAATATTTTCTACATTAGGTTTTGGAAAATAGCAGACATAGCACAGTTTTTGCCTAGCAAGTGTCTATAAATGTTTTTTAATAATTTGCCTCATGAAATCTAATAAATAAGTCTTTCTTCAATAGTCTACTTAAAATAAGCAATTATAAATAGACAGTCCGTCCTCATTCACAGATTTCATATTTTCAAATTTGCCTACTTTCTAAAATGTACTTATAATTCCCAAATCAATACTTTCAGGGCTTTGGCAGTCATTCAGGGATATGTGCAGAGCCAAAATACACATGTTCCCAGCTAAGGTCACACAAGGCAAAAGCTCTGCTTTCTGTTTTTAGCTTTCATACTGTAAACAAGTTTCCTTTTCGCAATCTATTTAGTGTAAGGTTTTTCACATTTTTGTGCTTTTTGTTTGTGATTTACTATTTAAAATGTCTCTCAAGTGTAGTGCTGAAGTGCTGTCTAGTGTGCCTAAGAACTGAAAGGCTATGATGTGTGTGTCTTACAGAGAAAATGTGCATGCCAGATAAGCTTTGTTCAGGAATGAGTTTTAGTACTTGAGCTCAATATTAATTATCAGCAATATATATCAACTAAGATGTCTTCAAACAGAAACACATATAAAACAAGGCTATTAATTGGTCAGTTAAAAAATATTGTGACCAGAGGCTCATGGGAACTGAACCGTGTATTTTCTCTAGGAGCCGTGGCTCAGTATTTACTAATTTCATGTGCTCAGCAACTTTATAGAATTTAATTACCACAAATGCTGAGAACCAACTGTATAAATAAATGAACCAAATCCTACTGAATAAGTAAATTATACTCCTGTTAACTTGTATATCACTTTTGTCAATAAGGTATCTACAACTTGATTTTCATTCCTCATGTGAAAGGGTTAAGGTATGCTCTGAGCATTGTGAGGAACTCTATTGGCTATACCAAAATGCTCATTCAGAAATGCAAACTGAGTCCTATTTTCTCTCATCTAAAAAAGTTCCATGACCCAACATGACGTAAAAAATGAAGTGCAATTTCCTCAGCATGGCATAAAATGCCCAACCACAGCCTGATACTTTTCTACCTCCCAGGCACTTCTGTCCATTTTCCCTTGTACAACTTCCACACAGATTTTCACATCTGTCACCACTGCCTGTTAATGTTCGATCTGTCCCTTGTCTAATCAGTGAGCTGCTAAAATTCATCAAAATTCCCACTCCAACATCACTTCTGGGACAACTTTTCCGACTGGCAAAGCAGAAGTCATCTATCACTTCCTCTTTTGTGTTCCCCATAGCATTTTGTAGTTTCCTATTTTGTGACTCTCTTCCTCATTGCATTGAGAGCTGCTGCACTATGGTAGAGACACATGTTCAATATATGGAATTCTAGGTCGTGTGTTTAGAATACAACATAAAAGTGATATGTTGTATCCTCGAAAAACAACAGGAATACAAAATCTATGCATTTAGATTAAGATTATAGAGCTTTAATGTTCATCAGAATAATTTCTTGAGAAAAGATTGATCAGGCATTGGCTACTCAGTATCCTCTTTTCCAAAAGCTCTATGGTGTGCTTGTGGGGGATTATTCTCCCACCACTGTGTGTGGGGTGTGGAAGGAGGGGCATTAGTTGTATGTATCTCCCACTACAACATCAATTGGAAATAAATTTTGAAACTAATATCATGAGGCAATGTCATTAGGACATAATCTGATATTGCAGTAACAACATGTCAGAGTTGAGACAGCATTAGTAGGAGCAGCCTCTGTTGTGCTAATTAGAGCATGGATAAAACTTTTAAGCAGCCTCTGTTGTGCTAGTGAGAGCATGGATAAAACTTTTGAGCTTAAATGGTCAGGATAAAGTCTACAGGATTTAAAGGTAACTGGGCCTTTTATGCTCATAAAGTGATTGTAGTCGTGGGCATAGTTTGATGGTAAAAACCCTTGCAAGAGAATCTCAGACATTTATAAATAATAGAACTTAAGACTTAAAAAAACTAAGAAACAATAGATATATGGTTCAATCCGTTCCTTGGAAATATAAGAAATCTGAATTCCAGGAAAGTGATACCGTTTGCCCAAGGTCACATGATCACTGAAAAATCTAGGTTGAAAGCCATGTTTCTGAGGTTTAATACTATGCTATATTTTATGATGCCATATGCTTTCCAAATAAATTTTTGCCCCTTTTTATTTTTTAGCATGACTTGAAAGTCATTTTTAAAAATTTCTCTACTTAAAAAGAATCCATTATCATGTGTCACTATTTTTTAGAATAAAGAAGATTTTTAGAGTTTTGCAGACAATAATGATAAATATTGTCATTAAAGTTCATCAAATTCTCATTTTTAATATTTTAAATATTACATTTAAATTTAAATAAGCAGGATGTATAGAATAATGTAGACTGATATTAAAATTAGACCTTGATTGTAGCTATGATTTGAAAACTGTAATAATACATTGCCCTACATACTGCTTTTACATATTAACTCATTTTATGAATTTTTTGTTCAAATATCTCTTTATTTTATGTACACTTGGAATTTTTAAAATAACCATTTGGCAAGTTTATGACAATAGCATCAGATCAACTAGACAGTCAACAACTCTAAATAAAACTTAATTCATGACAAGTATTTGGAGCCAAAATTTTCAAACAAGTTACGCAAGTCCAAAACTCATGTGGGAGTGAAGTTTACTGTCTTTTTAAAAAACTCAATCTGGGGCAACCCACTTGGGTCCCCTCCCACTGTGGGAGCTTTTCTATCCTCTCAATAAATCCCGCTTTCTCACTTTCTGTCTGTCACAGACAGAAAGTGTCCCTCATTCCTCCTGGGCACGAGACAAGAATCCTGACCTGAAGAGCTGCAGAAGATCATCGGAACCAAAGAGCCATGCACCCCAGAGGCTGGCTTACCAGCTGGTAGAGCTGACTGAACTGGGAGAGCTGCTGGAAGAAGACGAGACTCTGAATCTGAGACAATTTTGGGGGCTGCAGCACTCTCAGGGCTTGGCTTGCCAGCCCATTAGAGCCGACACTCTGGGGCTAGGCTTGCCAGCCCACCAAATCAGCAACACTCTCAGGACTTGGCTTGCCAGCCCATTGGAGCCAACACTTCTGGGGCTAGCTTGGCAGCCCATCAAGCTGACCCTGTCTGGGGCTCAGTTGGCCGACCCATTGAGCTGACTCTCTCAAAGCCCAGGCTGACCTGAAAAATCCATATCAGTAATATTATTTAAAAAAATTTTTAAAGCAGACATCTATACCTTAAAATATTCCAGATCTTGTAAAGATTAAAGGTTATGTTTAATGTATAGTCAGAATTGAAAACTACTGTTGACCTTTACCTTACTAAACTGTGGTGTGGAAGTGCTCTTTGAGCTATGGCCGTTGCCATGTTTCCTGGCTTTGGCCCCCTTTCCCTAATTTTGGGAGGTGAACCTCTTCTTTCTTTCTCTCTCTCTCTCTCTAATTTACTTTTTAAGTAAACTATATTTTCGAATTTAAAAAAAGAAAACTACTGTTTAAAGAAACTCAGTCTGGATTTAGTGGGAACATTTTCTTCATCTCTACATATTTTCTAATACTCTGTATCCATTAAAAGTATTTTGACAGGCTTTTTTTTTTTCCTTCCATAACCACTGCCACAAAGGAAATTAAAATTTCCTGACAGAGGAAGCCTTCTGCCCCTCGGTATGCATGGGTCCACTCGCCCAGCAGTGCAGGGGAAGCTGGCAGTCATTACAGAGCTTGCCGTATGACCTTCTTAGGAAGGATTTGTTTCAGGTTTGAGTAGGTGATTTCATTTTTTAAAAATGTTCTGCTTGTTCGTGTTTACAATAAAGTTGGAAATATTTTGCATCACAAGAAATCACAAGTGTGAAAGATTCAGTAACAGCAAAATAGGAAATAATATTTTATGGTTTTTTTTTCCCACTTGGACTGATTACCTAAAGGACAAAGGCCAGTGTGATTTCAGAGCAGGTTATAAATATATAAATATGTAGTTCTTTAACCAAATTGTTACTTAAAGGACATATCCCACTGTATAAATCTCTTCTGAATGCAAAGAACTGTTTAAGCTATTGTTTAATAGCCAATTTCCATAGGAAAAATTAATGTCAACTAGACAATTATGAAATTAGTCAATGTAAACTAAATTCATGAACTATTATCCAAACAGAACTATGAGACAAAGAAGAATATGTAGAGATAAAATGCATAAGATCATCAGAGTTAGAGTTAAACATATTCTTCCACAAAACCTCCTCATAGTAAGCAATGACATCACGGAACCAAATAATTTATAAAATTATGCTTTTTACATATGATAGAATTGTTTCAGAAGCACCACATCTACCTTTCTCTGGAAAAAAGGGGGGTTTCTCCTAGACAAAAGAAAAGATTTTGGCAAAATTCGAGTTAGTGGTTTGCTAAATGTAAGCCTCTTCCCTTGCATAGTGCTTTGCCCTTTTTATCTTTTTTGTTGTTGTTCCCAAATAGCTGCAGATAAAAGAAGTATTCTCCCTTTGCATAAGTTAGAATGTGTTAGCTGTTGAAATACAAACTTCAAAGCAACCAGTTTAAACAGTAAGGACATCTATTGTCTTGTTTTTTATTATTAATAAAGATGTGGGTTTTTAAAAAATTTATTTTATTTTTGTATTATAAAGATGTAGAGATATTGTCTCTTTTAACACACAAACTAGAGAGGAACTAGCCCCGGAGATGATTAGTTAGCAGCTTGGTGATGTCATCAAAGAATTCAGTGTTTGTTTCTCTAGGGGCAATTTGACAGTCCAGCAAGCCTGGAATTGGTCTGAGTTGTTTTACTGACATAAGACTTAACACCTTTGTGACACTGAACTCTGGTCGTGTATGAAACACGCTGATTAATACAGTGGCTTTGCAACTATGCGTCTAAAGGTTTTGGACCGCGTGTGCTAGCATAGTGTATCAATGACAGTGAGATAGATGTTATGCACCTGATCTGTGCCCGGACTGATGATGTGCCCAGAGACTCCTAGAGAACACTCCAATTGGGCTGGTTATGTAGTAAAAATATGCTTGAGTAATCGGCAGAGCATAGAAATCCCAGCTGAGACTATTTTGGCCATCCTCATTCTGAGGGGGTTTCATACACAGGTCACGTGGCTTCTGATCAAGATAGAAAGCATGTCAGTAAGGCCTTCACAGAGGAAGAAGTAGAGCATGAACTCAGTGTCCCTGGATCCCTTGCTGTGAGAGCACCTTTAACTGGTATTCTTATTCTTACTTTAGTCCTGTTAGTGTAGTGTATGTTGTTCTTGAAATAAATTATAGATTTGTAAGTACTCTCACTTGGGTCTTGTGAGTCAGGGCGTGAACTAAGGTCATACAAGTGCAGAGTGAGTATCTCCTAAAATTTTCTGCCCTAGGATTTCACATGTCTCATACTAGTCCCGGCCTTGTTGTTAACCATCTCTGTCAATCAAACTTTTTCTATCATCATTAATTAAGTCAGCTTTTGTACTATTGTCCTCAAGCTGGTGCATTTTTGTCATGAGATCCCTACCAGTGGCAATGGTACCATGCTTTTTTGCTCATAAGCAGCCAAAGAAAAAAATTGAGTCCCACAGTGAACTAGCCATCTTTCTCTTAAGCCCTTCATCTGGGACATTTCACTTCAATCACCAGGAAAATGCTAGGTCTTGTTAGTTTACTAATCAAGATGAAATTATAGAACTGAAGTTAGAGAGGGTAGCTGGAAAGAAAAATAAAATAAAATAAACTAGAGTCCTGTTAGGAAGGAGAAGAGGGGGAGGTCTGTTGAAGCTTGAGCAAACAACAATGTCCAGTATACTTTATTACTGGTAGAAACATTGACTTAAAAGGATATAAATGCAGCTCATGAGTCAGATGCCAAAACTTCTAACTAAAATTAATTTTCTCCCACTTTTTATTTTCATGATTCAACTTAGAGGCTTCAATAAATGAAGTTTCTCTAAGAAAATTTTTCTACATTAATACCAAATATACCCAATTTACATAATAAAATATCAATGTCAAACTATAATTGTAATAACATAGTCTGAGGCAAAAATTTGAATTAATGGCATTAAGTTCACTAAGATGACAAGTGTTAATTATCATTTCTCTTTCATTGATTTCCATAAAACAGCAAATCAGATCATTGAATATTACTAATAATTTCCTGCCATAGTCATGCTATTTTACATGATTTTTAAAATGTAGCTTAAAAAGTGCATTTAAGGTTTTATTAAAGATGTAATTATTCTGCATTAA